ATGGGCATAGGCACCTCCCTTGGGGTGCTCTGTGGGGTGGGAGAGGCCTGCACGGGGTGCGGGTAATGCACCAGGCTGGGATTCAGGAGACCTGGGGTAGGTGCTTGGCTCTGCCACTGATCAACTGCGTGTCCCCGGGCTTGTCACTTCACCTCCCCCGTGCCTCAGTTTCCCCACGGCGCCGTGTAGGGGGCAGGCTACAGGTGCCACGGAGGGGTGCTGTGCCTGGGGAGGGGGGTCACAGGCATGCTGTGCTGCTCCCCCCCGCCCAGGAGCCTGAGCACGCCGGACGCCATGGCGGAGAGCTGCGAGCTGGACCTGCTGTACGTGACAGAGCGCGTCCTGGCCGTGTGCTACCCTCGCGCCGACGACGAGGGCACCTTCCGCGCCAACCTGGCCCGCGTCGCCCACATGCTGCGCTCCAAGCACGGCCATAGCTACCTGGTGAGTCCCCCGGGCCCACCCCCTGGCTTCAGGCCCCCGGTTCCCAGGGCCCCAATCCCTGCATCCCAGGGTGCCCCCATTGGCCATAGCAGGGGGGCCGAGGCGGCGGCTCACACCCCCCCCCGTACCCCCCAGCTGTTCAACCTGTCGGAGCGGCGCCACGACATCAGCCAGCTGCATGCCAAGGTGCTGGACTTCGGCTGGCCTGACCTGCACACGCCGGCGCTGGAGAAGATCTGCAGCATCTGCAAGGCCATGGACACGTGGCTGAGCGCCGACCCGCGCCACGTCGTCGTGCTGCACAACCGGGTGAGTGTGAGACCTGCCCGGGTGCGGACCCCCAGCCCCCCAGGCTGAGCCCGCCGTGACCCCCACCCTCTGCTCCGGTCCTTGCAGGGCAACCGGGGCCGGCTCGGCGTGGTGGTGGCCGCCTACATGCACTACAGCAACATCTCGGCCAGGTGAGCACACGCGTGTGCGTGCATGTGTTTGTGTGCAAGGGTGGGGGGGGCAGGTCTCCCAGGGATTTTTTTGGGTATGTCCGTGGTGCCCCCTGCTGGAGATGAAGGGTCGGAGTAACTTGTTATCGGTCCCTTTGGTGTGTGGGGGGGTGTCTCTGGTGACCACCCGGCAAGGGTCCCGACCTGTAGCCCCGGCCCCCCACTAGCCCTGCCGGGGCCCCTCGCTCCGGCCCCTCGCGGTCTCACCCCCTGCCTCTGCCTTGCAGTGCGGACCAGGCCCTGGACAGGTTTGCCATGAAGAGGTTTTACGAGGACAAGGTGGAGCCGGCGGCCCAGCCCTCCCAGAAGCGGTCGGTGCCTGGGGGGATCGGGGTTGGGGGCTGTGGTGGGGTCTGGGGGGGCTCGGCCAGGTGTCTGTGGCTCATGCCCCACTGGTGCCCTCCCCAGGTACATCGATTACTTCAGTGGGCTGCTGACCGGTGCCATCAAGATGAACAACAAGCCTCTCTTCCTGCACCACGTCATCATGCACGGCATCCCCAACTTCGAGTCCAAAGGCGGTGAGGCCCCCCAACCCGCCTGCTCCCCTCCCGGCACAGGCGTTCAGGCCGGGGGTGGTAACATCCTTTCCCCAGCATGAGAAATGCTCCCCACCCCGTGTCGGGACCTAGTGTAGACAGGACTCTGGCACCGCTGCGGCTCCCTTCCCAAGACTCAGCCCTGCCTTGGCCCTTGCAGGTTGCCGCCCCTTCCTCAAGATCTACCAGGCCATGCAGCCCGTCTACACCTCCGGCATCTAGTAAGTAGCCCCCGACATGGGGCTAAGGGCCCCCCGGCTCCAGGGTGGATGGGGTCTTGCCTGTTCTGTATGGTGGCATGGGTTCGAGCCCCGCGCTCCCCTCTCTGCCCCCAGCAACGTGCAGGGGGACAGCCAGACCAGCATCTGCATCACCATCGAGCCCGGCCTGCTCCTGAAGGGCGACATCCTGGTAAGCCGGAGCCCCCCGTGCACACACCTGGGGGCTGGGGGGGGCAAGGAGCTTGGGGAGGGGAGTGACTGTAATTCAGACGTTCAGGTTTTGAGTATCTTGTTTTTATTCAGCAATTATACATGCACCATCTAAACAGCTTGGTCAATTTACAATATGGAATAAAGGAATTCATACTTTTAAAATATAGAAATACACAGTGGGCTCCCCTCCATTGGCACTGTGTTCTTGTAGGTAATGGAGCTCCTGATGCTCTCTATCTTTCACTTAATATGAAGTGTGGAACTCCCTTAAGAAGGAAAACCTGGAATATTATCCAGTTGTTTTTGATTACCTGGATTTCTCTAGTAGGGCAATGTACATCTAAGTACATATTCCAGTTGACCACCAAATGCTGGCTTGGGAAAAGTTGTCTGCATCACTGCACATTACTTATTTGCATTACTTCAACTGAGGGGTAAGTGCCCTCCAGGAATCAAACTATATGAATTCACTGGTTCAGTCCAATACAAACAGGTTTTCTGTAGCTCATAATCCTAGTCTGAGAGTAGAAAGAGCTATATAACAGTAGAGGTCTCACTTGCATGGAGAAGTACAGCAGACGCTTCCAGGAAGTACTTTGGTTAGACTGTTAAAAGGATTAGATCTTGAGCAAAAAACCCTGGTGAATCCTTGAGATATTGTACATGGAGCTAAAGGAAGATGGAATGGGGAAGTTTCATGACCATCAAAATGTAGCCATGTCTATGCAAACTACACCTAAACTGTGTATCTTCTGAAATATTCACATTTTCCATCACTAATCATGGTAGATACTTTCAAGGGAGAATGAAGGTTGGTACATGCACCTTAAAAAGAACTAGGACTACTAAGACTAGTACAGTATAATGTAAGAGTCCAAGGTAAATTACAATACAAAGGGATTAATCTCTCTATTCCCATACAAGTTTCTTCATGACTTCAGTAGGAATAATTTGATATAAAAGGACTTCAGAAGCATACTCTAAGATTATCTCCATATTTACATCATCAACTGACTATGACCTGTGTAAATGTGGAAATATTTGTTTATTTAATTTTCTGCACTATTCTTGTTTACTTCTTATACCAATGCCTGCAAACTAAAAGCTCTGCATTTTTAGTAGGAAAAGTTATTTGAGTAGATGTGATAACTTTTACTAGACCAACTGAGTAGTTGAAAAAAAAGTTCTTGGCAAGCTTTGGGGCGTAGTCACCCTTCTTCATGCATAGGGAGTCTCTGCTGGAGACTTTCAGGATCAAAGATCCTGAAAGAATATGCTATTACCAAAGCAATGTCCTTTTGAGCTTGCTTTCCACAAATATTTAAGAAAGCAAGTTTTGCTCTCAGAGCCTGTCCTTACACCAAGCAAAATCCTATGTTTTCAGGGCTTAGGGGCTTTATATATAAATCTTGTGGGGGGCCTTTGATCAGGGGATACTTTCACCTACAAAGCAAGTTTCAACTTACATTCTAATATCCATACTGGAATTGATGTGTTTTATATGAGGTAAAAAACTACTTGAAAAAGCATGAAGAAAGCTTTAAAGCTTCTAACCAAAGCCCTGCTACACAGTGGAGGATCTGTCTTCACACTCTGCAGAAATGATAGCACGTGTTCACTTTTGTTTTGTGTATCAGCAATCATTGCAATGACAGGGAACACTATTTCCAGAACTATTAGATCAATCACATACATGGCATTACATTATGTAACTGCAATAAAAGATATTAAATTCATGTGCTGCACAAACCGAAGAACACTTTGGCCAGCATGACTAAGATATACCAGTTTTCCATCAGTTCTTAAACCACTAAGTCTGACAGGATTATAGATGTTAAGGTTGAAGGGGATCATTATGATCATCTAATCTGATCTCCTATATAATACATAGACATTTATCCACCAGTTCTTCAAGCAGTGTTCTCATTGAGCCTATAACTATAATTTCATTGAGGTACATCATCTCTTTTAGAAAAGTATCTGGTCTTGAACCAAGAACTTCAAGAAATGCAGAATTCAGCATATCCTTATATACATTATTCCAAAGGTTAGTTACTCTGACTTTAAAAAAAAAATCACCATTGGAGGTCTCATGTTTCAGCCACTGGACCTCATTATAATTTTGTTTGCTAAATTAAGGAGTCCTCTACTCTCAGAAATCTGTTTCTGATTAAAAGAAGTTCTTGTAGAGCAGTAGAGGCCAACCTTTTTGACAGGCCTGCCACAAATTAGCTCTCATCCTCCCCAAGTGCTACTCTAATTCCCTTCCCATGCTTAATATGCTTCTCTGCTCCTTGCCTGTACTCTCCTTTCTGCCCTGTGCTCCCTGCCCAATCTGCTGCTCTGCTTTC